ATTGTGTCTCGCGTGCACTTTGCGTTGGTCGGCCTGTGGGTGCGTGGGGCCCCTCCTGCGTGGCTTTTGTGTGTAAATGGGACGTGCCCATGTGGGCTTCGGGTGTGGTCTGTGCACACGTTTTGTGCGTGGGTGTCTGTGGCGTGTTTGTGCGCACAAGTGAGTTTGTGTATGTTTTATCCGTGGGTTTCGGAAGGGGCGAGTGCCTCTACCAGTGCTTCCTGCTCATGTGTGTGTCCCGTGGGCACGTGTTACGTTGTCTCAGGGCTCAGACCCAAGGGGACCAAGGGGTCAGGCAGGTGCCTGGGACACAGAGCTCCTGCCCCCTTACACAGATAAGGAAACTGAGGCTGTGGGATTGGGTGCCCAGTCCAGCTAGAGGGCCCCACGTCAGGCCAGGCTCCACCTCTTGCACACTCACTGCACCCCCTGGCACGCTCACACAAAGCACACTTACACTTCCCCAGAACCACAGCCCCTGTAGACTGACCTGCCACACTCCCACAAAACCCCCAGCTCTGTTCTGGCCTGAACATTGAGTAGCGGTGCTGTGTCCACTCTCAAACCCGAGGGTCATCGGCCTATACTGGCCTCTCCTTAGACAAAAGAGTTCTGTGACCCCAGGTTTGCCTCCTCCCCGAAGGCAGGACCAGCACCCTGGCCCGTGCTCTGGGGGCTGGTTGCAGGGGATGTTGGGGCAGTTCTGGGCTTCTCTGGTCGCCTGTCCCTGTGCCCTCCCTTGGCAGGGTGGGTGAGGACCTCAGCCAGTCCAGGCTGCAGCTTCAGATGGGGGCTGGGGGATCAGTGAGGGCTGAGCAGGGAGAGAAGGGGCGAGTTTGAAGGGCTGGAGGGGACACAGCTGGGGGACTGAAGGAGCCACTCCTTGTCTGTTTGTACAAGAAGCCCCCCCTCCCACACACAACATGGCTACACCCACCAGCACACATGGGGAGGATATTCTCCGTCCAGTGGGAACGCTGCTGTCCGGGGCATGGCTGAGTGCCTTGCCATCCAAAGTGGGTGCCCATTTTCCAGACCACACTGAGCAAAACTCTTGAGTAATTTCCAGGAAGGAGACAGTTGGAAGGCCAGAGGGAGGATTGCACAGGAAGAGAAAGGGCCAAGTGGGAGGCTGGGTACAAGGCCACAGCTTGACAAGAAGGAGCCCAGCCTTCCTAGAGGATCTACGGTCAAATCCAGCCCCTTACACGTTGTTCTCAGTCATTTCACCTGTCCAGGGATCAGTTTCCTCACCTGTAAAATAAGGGGATTGGGCCTGTGCTTCTTCGATTGTATAAAGGGGGGGAGATCCTTTAGATTCAGTGATCTCTAAGGCCCCTTCAGCTCATCCGGCCACGATCCTTTTCCCGAGAGAACTTTGCCTTTCTAGCTCGCCTTGGTCAGGCAGTCTAGGGTGGGGGGAGCGGTGTAGAACCCTCAGCCACCAGCTTTATCCGGGCTCTGTGTGCCTAGACTGAGGTGTGGGCTGAGTCAGTCCAGCCACTGAGACAAAGGGCTGTCTTTGTTCACATCCCACTCAGCTGGACAGTGAGCGTGTGTGTGTGTGTGTGTGTGTGTGTGTGTGTGTGGTGTGAGTGTGTGCTGGGGGGAGGAGGCTGGCAGCCACTTGAATCCACCCATGGGAGTTGGTGGGGGGTAGGATAGGGTGGAGGCAGCAGGTTACAGGCAGCCCCGTGTGACCGAAACCAATCCTGGTTGGGAGCTGGGGCTGACTGCACTTTGTCTGAGGCAGAGGTGAGGTGGGCGTGGCCGTCCCACCCCTATTCCTGAACGGACAGGTTAGACCATTATTACTATTAGTTCTTTTTGGGGTTGGTTTTTTTTTTTAATAGCAATTTACATTTTCCAAAAATGCCCAAGAAAGTCCTATTATTCTCCTCCTCCTCCGTCCCCCCTTTCTGGACTACAGTGCTCCCCAGATCAGGACTGCCACCACCCTGCACATCCTGAGCAGAGACTCAGGGCCCCCTGCCCCTTCTTCCTTCCCTCCACCCATCCAACAGGTAGGTGGCCCAGCTGGGTCTGGAAAGAGTGAAGGCTGGCCTGGTGCATTGCTGAACACACAGTAGGCGCTCACTAAATGGTCCAGGGAATTCATTCTTCTGTCCTCTACTAGCATCAGATCCCAGATGGGCAGGACACTCACCCCCTGGGGCACCCAGCCTGTCCACCTAAGCTAAGGAGACAGAAGGGGTGTCTGTGTGCACCAGAGAGAAGAGAAAAGACATGGTGGGGGCACTCAGGCTTGGATAGGGGGTGCTGAGGCTGCTGTGCACATAGTTGGGGGGGGTGCTGATCTTAGAAAAAAGTATGTACTTGTGAACGTTTTCCTGTTCACAGGAAAAACAACTGGAGAGCAAAATAGGCTGTTTGCCTGGATTTGCTTGTTTAAAAGGAAGATTCTGTAAGGAAATTATTGTCTGCTAGATAGGAGTGTGAGGATCCCGGCCTTTGCAGCAGGGCCACCCTTTCTCCAGAATGCGGTTTTTTTGTGTCCAGGAGATGGGGGAGATGAGGGAAAGAGCCTTCCGTCCATGTGTCCCCATGTGGGCAGTTCCTTTGTACATGGGCATTTTTCATGTTGGCCCCCATCCCGTCTTCACCAGCCCTGGCATCTTCCCAAGAGCCCCAGGAGCACACTCTGTCACCAACTGTGGGAGAGAGATGTCCCCAAAGTGGACTCTGCAAGCACCTGGGCACTGGCCAGCTCAGAATCCCCTGCTCTCTCCTCTCCTTTTCCACCTGGGGAAATGAAAGATCATGCCAGGGAGACAAGGGAACCAGTGGAGAGCCTTGTCTCCTACAAAACTGGCCCAGGGCCACCCTGCACTCCCTCCTCCAGGCTCAGGGCCTGGGGCTGCAGTGGAGAAGGGAGATGCACCACTCTGTGTGTGTGTGCGTGTGTGTGTGTATGTGTGCGTGTGTGCATCTATGTGTGCGTTCATCTGTGTGTGCATGTGTGCACGTGTGTGCATCTGTGTGTGTGCGCGCGTGTGCGCGTGCGTGTGCATCTGTGTGCGTGTGTGTGTGCATCTGTGTGTGTATGTGTGCGTGTGTGCATCTATGTGTGTGTGTTCATCTGTGTGTGTGCGTTGGGGCGAGTGAACAATTAGCAAGTAACAAGCAGTTTTGTTCAGCTATAGAAGCAACAAAAGCTGGGCCATGCTCTGGAGTCTGAGGTCCTGGGTTCAAATCCCGGCTTCCCTTGCTGGCTGGGTGACTCCCTCAGGCAGTTTGCCTGCGCTTCAGCTTCATTCTCTGTGACGAGAAGGTGACAGCGGCCTCGGAGCCGAAGTCCTGGCCAGCTCCAATCTCCCAGGACCCTCCACCCCCAAGATTCTCCATTGCCACTTGGGGGCCAGCCACCAGGCGTGTGCCCAGCTGCCCAGGCAGGGTCTGCCTTCTCAGAACCCTTTCAATGCCATGTCACCATCACCCCCAACGAGATTCAGCAGCACCCCACCCCCCTCTGGCCCTGCCTGCAGGGTACCCCCAAGCTGTACCTCCTGCATGTCTGCCAAGCAGGAACTGAAAGTTTGTTTGTGTGTGTGTGTGTGTACTTGTGCCTTGGGTGGTAAGAAGTGGGGGAGTGGAGATGAGGAACCCCACTTCCCCAAACATTTCCTTATGTAGTGCATTTGTGGGCCTGAAAGCCAGAGGGGCCTTCCTTCTGTGGGATGTGTTGTGTGTGTGTGTGTGTGTGTGTGTGTGTGTGTGTAACTCTTTGTGCGTGTGTGATGTGTGGGTGTGTATCTGTGTATGTAGGTGTGGTGTGTGGGTGTGGGTGAGTGTGTCTGGGTGTCTGTGTGAGTTTGTGATGTGTGTGTATCTGTATGTGTAGTGTGTGTGTGTGTGTGTGTGTATGCATGTATGCAATTGTCCCCAGGAGTGATGTGCCTGCCTTGAGGAGCTGGGGAGGAAATCAGGTACAAGAAGGAACCTTTTGTTTTTCCTTCTTACTCTCCTTAGTGACTCCCCCAGGCTGATGGGTGTCCTCCACATACCTGCCACAGTTCTGAGGCCACATTGCTCCCCTGCTCAAGGACCTCTGTGGCCCCCTATTGCCTAGGTTCAGGGCAGTTCCTTGGCCAGATACATCCCTCCCAGGGCATGCACTTCTCTGTGGGTACAGAAGGCTGGGCACTCATTGGTCAGCCTTCCGACTCCCTTTTCCATATTTGTTGCCCATCACTTCTCCCTCACCCAAGCCAGCTCTCAGCCAGTCTGGCTGTTTGTCCCCTCTATGCCACATTCTGTCTCCCACTTTCATGCTTTTGCACAGGCTGTGCCCCGTACCTGGAGTGATCTCCCTTTCACTTCTTCCTCTTGAAATCTACAGCTGCCTTCAAAGTTCAGCTCACATATCACTTCCTCCAGGAGGCCTAGCATGATTTCCCCAGTTGCTAGAGCCTTTTCCCTGGAAATTATATTGTATCTGCTCTGTAGCTACTCTGTATTTACTTCTCTATATCTGTATCATGTTCTAACCCAGGGGTCCCTGAACTTGTAATTGGGTTCTTTTGTAATTCTACTTACTTTATTTTATGCATTTTAATGTTACTTGAGAAGGGGTCCGAAGGTGTCACCCGACTGCCGAAGAAGGGGCCAGGGTCAGGGGGCCCTGGTAACTCTAGTTTCTCCCCAATTGAATATAAGTTTCTTGAGGTCAGGGCCTGATTTTGTTTTTCACCTTCCATGGCAGGCCCAGAGAAGGAGCTTAACAAATTACTTAATGAATGAATGGATGGATGAATGAATAAGTGAATGAATGAACTAATGAATGAATGAATGAATGATGGATGGATGGATGGATGGATGGATGAATGCCGGCACTCATGGGCACTTTCCCAAACCAGTCTCCACCCTTCTCCATCCAAAGGGTCTTATTCGTAACAAAAAAGGACAGGGAGGAAGGAGTCCAGAAAGACTTGTTCAAACCCTGGGTGGTCCTGTCATTGGCCCCTTCCCTTTTGCCGTACTGTCCAGCCATGTCTGGAAACACTGACATGCCCTAAGTCTGCTCAGGGTTGATGTCTAGCTGAGAGCCCTCAGTGCCCAGAGATTATTTGGGATGACCATAGAGCTAGAAGGCCCCTTAAGAGGTCATTGGATCCATCTCCCTGATTTTATCTATGGGGAAACTGAGGTTCAGGAAAGGGGAGGGGCTTGCTCATGGAGATTCAGAGAATTTGGCCATAAGCAGTGTTAAGAGCTGAAAGTGTCATCTATTTTAATGCTCCTATTTTACAGAGAAGGAAACTGAGGCTCAGAGAAAAGAAGGGGCTGGGTCCCAGGACTGGCAAACAGTAGAGTTGAGGATGGGTAGAACCATGATGCTCTTACTTCCTGCACATTTGAGGAGAAAGATAACAGGCTAACTTTTTGGGGAAGAGAGGGAAGAGATGAGTCTTCCACCACTGTTTCTGCTCCACAATCTGGAAGGGTTGGCTGAGCAGTAAACACCCAAATGTGGAGCAGGTGTGGGTGTTTCCCATCCCACCCCAAGGGAAGTCTCTCCAGGGTCCTATTGCTGGTGTGTGGAGCAAGTTACCATGGTACCTCAGCCTACCCAGAGTGGGGACTAGTCCACAAAAGACCCACCCCCTCCCCTATCCCACTCCCCTGGAGCCCCTTCTGCTACTTTTCACCTCCTAAGAGGATGATGCTCAGTGCAGTGGAAAGATGGACTGAATTTGGAGCCAGAAGACCTGGGGTGAAATACAAGCCTGTGACTAGCTCCCTCTTTGACCTTGAGGAAGCTACTTCCCTTCTCTGGGCCTCAGTTCCCTCACCCATCTGCATAGTGAGGAAGGAGATTGGGCTGGACAGCCTCAGAGGGTCCTCTCAGTCCTGGGTCTAGGTTTCTCTGATCCGAGTACCAGGCATTTCCATAGCTTCGAGATGCGCCCATCCTTGTCTTTGGGCATCTCCATGACCGCCAGAGGCAGGCACTAAATGTATTATCATCATCACCGTTTTACAGATGAAGAAACAGGGCATCCAAGTGGCTTGATCAGGGTCCCCCAGCTAGCAAGTGTCAGGGGCAGCATTTGAACACAGATCTTTTTGCTTCCAAGTCCTCTCACTTCATCTCCTTCTTTACGACTAATAAATTTGTGATTTGGATCAATCGAGGTCAGTTAGAACTCCTCAGCTCCCCTCACATGATCTTTGGAGAAAGGCCCACTTAGAGGGTGTGTGTGTGTGTGTGTAAGTAAAAGAATGCCATGCGTCCCATCAAAGCTAAGGGGAGAGGGCAGGGAGAGGTCTTTGTGAACATTGCCCTCCCCCATGCCTAACCTCCGGTCAGGTCTGAAGGTGGTCTTAAAGATCTCTAGTCCCCCAAATTCCCATGAACTGTGTGCACTGAAGCCCAGCATGACTTGGGAGTCACCACCTCCTCTACCTCCCCTTTGTTTCTCAGGCACAGCCTTCTAGAGGCATCGCTGGTCTCAGGAGGCATCAGGAGACCTGCGCGCAAATCTGCTCTCTTTTTTTCCTCCTTTCTTTTTTTTTAAGCCTCAGTTTCCTCATCTGTAAAACAGCAAAGATGCTAGCACCTCTGGGGGTTGTAGTAAGGAAGTCTTTTGTAATCCGTAAAGCCCTGTAGAAATGGTAGCTGTTGTTCATTATTATTTTCCTGCTAAGTTTCCTTCAGGGCTTCTGTTTACTCCTAGCCTTTCATCTTCGAGCAGGGTTAAAGGGGCCAGGGAGGAGAGCCGCTGGAGGAGAAGGGAAGAGAACTCCAGTGGGTGGAAGATCTTAGCTTTAGAGTTGGACTGGGGAGGCCGTCGGGGTCCCCCTCACTCACTGTGCTGGAGAGAGGGAACAAATGAGCAATTTCTTCTCCTAGCTGGGGCATGGAGGAGGCAGAGGGGCTCCCGACCTGTTTCTTCGGACTCCAGATTCAGCGGCATTTTCGGTGGCTCACGCCTCCTCTCCCTGTCTCTCCTTTAAAAGGCCAAGTTCAAGAGTATAGCCCGGGGGAATGAACTGGCTAGGATTCAAACCACAGTCTTTAAGGGTCAAAGAGGAGGATCCAGGGGAAGGTGCATTTCAAAAGTAGAGGCAATCGTGTCCAGCCCTCTCATTTCACAGAGGAGGAGACTGAGGTATAATTGAATGAGTTGCCCAAGATCCCACACAGTGACAAAGGCGGGATTGGAACCCAAATCTTCTGGCTCCAATTCAGCCCACTTCGCATTGCACCGGGCTGCTTCCCACCTTATCACAGAGCTACAAGTCTAGAATGTCTCTCTCCTCATCTTAGGTCCTCCCCGGACATGCAAGAATATAAGCTCCTTGAGGGCAGGGATTATCGTTTTATTTTTGTATTTTTAGGTTCTAGTGAAGTGCCTGGCACAGTGTTTGTTGAAATGAACTGAGACAGAGGTGATTCCGAAAGGCGGGGCAGGGCTCCTCCTGGGCACACCCTTTCCACGCGTGTATCTGCGGACGGGGAGGACGCAGGACTGACGGCAGCATTTGAACGAAGGGGGTTGGGGTATTGGCCTTTCCAAAGGCAACAAGTCCCGGCCCTCATTATCCCCGCTGGGATGGGGCAGGAAGGAGGTAACAATGGGGGCAGGCACCAGGCAACGTTTCCACATGGGTCATTTTTCCCTTTTCCCATCTTACTACCTCTTTTCTTGCCTCAGGCTCCTACCTTCATCTCGCTGCTGGCCCCCCACCTCCGGGCGCACGCTCCCCTCGTGCTGCCCTCTAACTGCCAAGGGCACACCCTGCAGGGTCTCGCCCAACCCAGCTGCCCTCCCCAGATGTGCCCCAACCGGCAAGATTGGCTCCCCGCTCCCCCATATCCTCTTCTTTCCAACTCTCGTCCCCTCAGTTCTGGTTGATCTCAGCTGGGTATTAGGAGAAAAGTCGTCTGAATGGACTAATTCACAGTAAGGGGTGAATGACTGATCTCCTCCAACCTTGCGGGTGGGCAGGGCGGTGCATTTTAAACGAGGCTTATTAAGTCAAATGAATCTCAGATTGATGAAATTTCAGACAGTATGACTAATTGACAAATTTCCGGCAACATGGGGAGAGACTTTTCGCCAGGGAGGCCCCTTTAAGCACATCCCTATACTACCACCAAGTCCTTGCCCCTGGGAACCCTTGTGGTCTGCAGCCTTCGCTCCCATGCCGGGAGATCTGAGCCACTGCTTTGGCTCCCCTGTCTCTCCATACTTTCCCTCCAGCTTTCCCCGGGGACCCTGAGGCCAAGCCGCTCGCTGACTTTGATCTCTCCCTCTTCAGTGAAGGAACAAAGCTCTGCCTGCCGAGGGGAGCTGCCTGCCCTTAGCCCAAATCCAGTCGGGGCTGACTCCAAACCAGCTGGTGCGTAGGTATGTCCTGGACAAGGGAGGAGATCTGCATCAATCCTTCCTGGCTCTGTGCCTACCTGGGTGACCAACCCTCTCCTCAGCTCCTGAAGTCCCCTCCCAGGCTCTCATTTCCCTTTTTTCTCCCAGTGTTAGTGGGGCTCAAAGATTACTCCATTTGGAGTTTTCTTGGCCAAGATACTGGAGTGGTTTGCCGTTTCCTTCTCCAGCTCATTTGACAGCTGAGGAAACTGAGGCAAACAGGGTGAAGTGACTTGCCCAGGAGCACACAGCTAGTAAGTGTGTGAGGCTAGATTTGAATTTAGGAAGATGAGTCTTCCTGACTGCAGATTGGGTGCTTTCTCCACGTGGCCACCTAGCGTCCCCCTCGCTTGCCCCCACCACCTCTGTTATAGTTAAGGACATCACCACACAGTCCGTCCTTCAGGCTCACAACCCAGGAGTCGTCCTGGACTCCTCACTACCTCTTATTCCTAAGCTGTTCCCAAGGTCAGTTGATTTCACCTCTGCGACATCTCTCAAATACAACCCTTTCTTCTTTGATGCTGCCACCCCTGTGGCGCATATGCTCATCACCTCATGCCGGGACTATTGTAGTAGCTGCTGGGGGTCTGCCTGTCTCAATTCTCTCCCCACTCCAGTCCATCCTCCATTCAGTCACTAAAATCATCTGTCACCCTCTACTCAAGAAACTTTCGTGGCTCGCTATGGCCTGCAGGATCTAATACAAAATGCTCTGTTGGAACTCAAAGCCCTCCATAACGTGGCCCCTCCTACTTTTCCAGGCTTCTTACATCTGACAGTCCTCTTTGATCCAGTGACACCAGCCTCTGGACTGGTCCAGGAACAACACCTTCCATCTCTGGTTCTGGGCATTCTCTTTGGCTGCCCCTCCTCATTTCCACCTACTGGCTTCCCTGGTCTCTTTGAAGTCCCACCACCTCCTACAGGAAGCCTTCCCCAACTCATCTTCATTCCAGTGCCTTCCCATCACTAATTATTTCCTATTTATTCTGTACATAACTTGCTTTGTGTGACTTTGCATGTTGTCTACCCCATTAGATTGTAAGCTCCTGGAGGCAGGGACTAGCTTTTGCTTCTTTTTGTATCCCCACCACTTATTATAGTGCCTGGCCCATAGTAGGCTCTCAATAAATGTTGATTGATTGATTGTTAGGCCCTATGCTGAGCACTGGGGATACAAAAACCAAGATGAAATAGTCTCTGCCATTAAGGAGCTTACATTCTATTGGAGGAGGAGGAAGGGAAGGGAAAGGAAGGGAAGGGAGGGAAGGAAGGAAGGAAGGAAGGGAGGGAGGGAGGAAGGAAGGAAGGGAGGGAGGAAGG